GATTAAAATTGATTAAAATTCAAGGAATCTGATTAAAATCTGATGAAAATCGTCTCATTTTAATCGATTTTTAATCACAAAAAAATCGATTAAAATCCCGTTTTTTCTTGATTTATTTTTATATGGGATGTGTGTTTTTGTTTTTCAAATTCCCTAAATCAATATTTTTTCTAATGAGATTTTTTTTATTTTTTGACCATCGATCTTCAAATTTAAAAATAAAATTTATCTAATATGTCTTTAGCAAAAAGAAATGTACGTACTTTCTTGATCACTATCAGACGAAACAGATAGAGAACTACTGTCAACATCTTCCTTTTTTTTACGTTTACCACCATCTGTAACTTTTAATCGAGGAGTACTACAGAAAATTCGATTGAAATCATCATCGTCTTTGTCGAAGCCTAAAATGTAAAGGACAATTGTTTTTATCGAAGGGAAAAGTTTCCACTGTACAAATATATCTTTCAAAATTTTCGACTGTCAATCAATTAATTTTATCAATTGATTTTTAACATAGCATGTCAGAATTTTAATAAAATTTTGAAACATGTCTAGCTAACTTGTTCTTCTATAGATTTTTTTTCTTATATATTTTAGACGAGTCTGCTGCAAAAAGAAGATAAAAATGCAGCTCAAATATCGAACTATTTATTTGTGATATCTAATAAAAAACAATAATAAAAGACCACTAGTACTTTACTGAAGTTGGTCAGACCGACATGATACCTGTTGTTGTTGTTGTTATTGGTTGTTGTTCATTGGTTGTAATCGGTTTTATTGTTTTTTTTTGTTCGATTTGTCGTTGGTGTATATATATCATCGTCAAAATTCAAATCATCATCCATTGTTTGTTCACGAAGATCTTGAGGATGATATTCACATTCATGTTCTGGAATAAAGATTTCTTCACTTCCTGATTCTTTTGAAAATCGACTTGAAACTTCTTCCATTTCTTGATGACTTCCTTCAAATTAAATTGAAACTTTTCTTGTCAAAAAAAAGTTGATCTCACCTGTTTTGATAACTAGTAATTTTTTTCTTTCTCCATAAGCCTTTATATTACCAGCTTGAACTCCAAGAGGACTGAGTGGATCGAAATTAATTAAGGATGCTTTGATGATAGCATGTTTTTTCAGTTGAGGAAACGAAACAACTGAAAAATCAGCATACTTAGATGTTCTGCCAGCCGTTGTGCGTTGTGGACGTTGAGTAAGTGTGTCCATACTTGTTTGAAAAAAGAACAGTATCTAAAAACATTAAATGATTTTATAAGAATTCAGATATTTTGAATATATCGAATTCAAAACAAGTATCTGCATCTAGATTGATTCATCTGAAACAAAAAGATTATTTAACTGGTTGAAATTTACCATTTGAAAATGAATAGATGCAGCAGATTTGAGTCAACTTTTAGCAAGTTGACTACTTTCAACATAGCTGTCGCGAATCAAAACGTATTTAGTTATTAGTAATGATTATGATATAAATCAGCCTTAAATCTAATTTCATTTTTATGAAGTAAAAAAATCTTAGGTTGCGATAAGTGTAGTTTATAGCAATAAGCAGATATGTACATATTGTATATGAAAAGCATATGCAAAACAAGTAACAATGAACACATATCAGCAATGTTTTATCTTTTCAATCATGCTCTCTATCTAGATAAACCTCAGTAAAAACTGATACGTTGGGTTCAATCCATGGCATGCGAATTACTGCATTAGTTATCCAACAAGTCGATACAATTTTGTATGTGAATTTTTTGTCATAAAAAAAACGGTAATACACGTTTAAACGATCGAGAAGATTTTGAGGAACAGGTGTTGATGATAAGCCATCAGCTAAACTTTTACCTAGACATTTATAGTGTTTGATAAATGCATAAGATTCATTATCTATTTGGAAATAATAAATAACTTCACCAAAACAGACGCCATGATTTTGTGGACAACTGTCATTTTTAATCGATACCCAATAACTAATAGAGTTTCCGCCACGCACATAGGATATTGAATGAAATTTTTTCAATCCTCTAAAATAACGAGCATATCGTTTAACAGGATTTGCTTCATTGAGTTTGATGTGCTTTTTATCACAACATTTTACAAAAGTATCATTTGAAGATCTAACGATGGCTTTATCTAAATATTTTTCATCAAAATGTTCATCTTGAGTTAAGTAAGCAATATTTAATGTATTATCAGGATATAAGTACCCTCAATCTTGTACCAAGTCATGAATTGTTCTAGTATGAACTTCTTGCCTTGACACCATTTAACAGCATGACCAATATAAGATTCACGAGGAAAACATGAAGTCATTGATAGAGATCCATGTCTATTAACTTGAGATAGAAGATGCGTATGTATATGAACTGTACAAAGTTCTGACTTCGGTCCATAGTACTCGGCTAAATGTTTATAGTAAAAATCAAAAAACCGATCAATATCACGTAATTCATCCTTGTGCTGGTAAAAATGTAATACACGAATATAAATGAAATAATGCAAAAAATGTAGAGCTAATGTATCTGGTAGAAATGTAATCACAAATATTGGAGATGCATATAATAAAAAATCTCTGTCATAGAAAAAAAACACAAATCATGAATTTTTTCTTGATATTTGAATTCGTTATAGGTTGGAAAATTGTCATAATAAAAGCTTTTTATTCAGATACTAATTGCTTACTTCGTTCTCAGCTCTCAGAAAAAAAGAAAATTGTTTTAAATTACTAATCGTATGAATATAAAGATGAATCTCTTCAATTTAAACAGTAAGTTAATACTGATTCTTACAGCATATACTCTTTCCTCGAAAATGACAATTTTGTTCACATTTTTTCGCTCGTTTTTCCACTAAAATATTCTCACTCCCACTGAACATGCAAATTTTTCTTACCTGAACATTTTCGTTTTCCAACTAGCATATTGAGTTAAAGGCATAAACTGATATCCAAACGAGTGTGGTAGTGTAATAGATAGTAAAAAATTTGATGCTTGATCTAATACATGTGGTAACAGTAGATGATTCCAGTAAGTGATCAATGTTTTAAAATGTCCACTGCACACTAAATGCATGTAATCAACCGCAATTTGGCTTGGAAATAACATTATTTTTGTTAAAGGAGTAGATCCTTTAATACCACTTGAGCTAAATCTTGGTCTATTGGGCATCGATAACTGAATATAATCATGATCAGTCTTGCGGGATGATGGTGTTTGTGAATAAGCATAAAATATTTGTGTTCCAATTGAATAGCCATGGATTTTACAGAATGGACAAGCATCATAACCATTAAATTGAACTATGTTACAGTTGAGAGCAAGTGCAGGTAGATCAAATGTAATCAGTTGCATTCGAATATTAAATTTAATTTTTGTATTGTCGTGTAATTTTATTATTATTCCATCGTTATATAAATTATGAATTTGTTCAACGATACTATTCCACAATAGTTCTCTGCTTGGATGACTGCCACCCAACCAAGCAGCAAATACCATGACTGCACTTATATGATCTCTTATAGGTGGGGGTATTTCAAGAATTGTTGCCTGGACTGGCCACAATGATTTTCCGCCAATTTTAGTCACAGGTGCTCCATCTGTGTGCAACATGATAGTTAGCTGCCTTTGATTCGTGTTGCCCAAACGTTCATATAAGGAGCCATTTATTACATCACACGGTAAAATGTCCTTTGAATGAATGTAATACTCATTGATTAGATTTATGTATCGTTTAGCTGTTGAAAAAATTTCATCTTTAACATTATTGGTTGCTAACTCGATAACATTCATAAATGGACGCCTCTCATTATTAAATAAACATCCACCAGTACATATAGTCTGTTCAGGAGAATTTAAATGCGATAAGCATTGACAACAATAATAATGCACTTGCTTTGAACAGTCAAAACCTAATGATAAAAAAGAAAAATCTTTAGAGTTACTATTGAGTACTATGAGTAGTGAGATGGTGAAGGAATATTAGTATTTGATGGGATTCAGTAAATCTATAATTCGAAGAGTGATCTTACAAAATTGATAGGTTCTTCAAAAAAAAGTTGTAAGTTTAATAGTCTTTTTCTCTAAACAAAACAATATTTTTACTTTATGACAGTAACAGTAAAACTAATGAGAAATAAGCAGCAAAAGCTAGTTTGCCATAAAACTTATCTAAATACTATCCTTCAACTATAGAATATTTTAAACAGAGAATCTCGATAACATAAAAAAGTTAATCAGATACAATTTTTCAACTGAAACCTTAACTAGAAAATTGATTTAACTCAATAAATACATCATGATTCACTTTTTGCAATGGTTTCAGACAGTTTATTCGTAAATTTAGTATTCTTTCTCAGGAGACTCATCGAGTAAAATACTTTACATACCGATGACCTTCATTAATTCTTTCACAGTGCGTGGTAATTTAACGTCTGCTGGGAAAAGATGTCGAATACCATCCAAAAAATTTTTGATATCATTCTTATTCAAATTCAAACGACGAGCTAATTTGATAATAATAAGACAGGCTTCATGTATAGATAAAGGAGACGATGCAAATAATTTGGTTTGATTGTTCATATCATACGAAAAAATGAATTCGTCGATGTCGTCATTATCATCATCATCACTTTCGACTTCTAATTCTTCATCGTTAACATCGCCGAAACTTGATTCAATTTCATCTAACGATTCATCAAGTAGTGAAGATATTACACAGGCAGTTGACGCAGTGGTAATATTATATGTATTATCAGTAGCATCATATTCCATTGTGTTTGAATCATTTACAGAAAGATCTTCATTTTGCATTAGTTCTGATATTTCATTAGTACGCTTTTTTAATCGGTTTTCTCCCATGCATTCTCGAGCACGATGGGCAGTATTTTTAGAGCAATACATGTTCATCTAAAATAAAGATTGATCAAAAAGAAATTGATAATAAGATAATGCATACAATAAAAGCTAAAAACAGATTTTAAAAATAGTTTAGATTGTTCGCTCTAAACATTCAAATCTAATCATACCACTTGATTCATTGCAGCTTAGAAAGAATACTTATACTTTCTATTGTATGTGTTCACCTGGCTTACATCTTAAAAACCACTAAATATGAAGCGAGTGATGTAATAAAAATAACAGTGTTCAAAACATAGTAAAAAAACATTAAGAAGATTATGTTCTTCATTTTTTACTCTAACGGTAAGCAATATGTAGTTCTTTACAATGTATTTGTATCTAGGGTTTATATTTGTTGAAATTGACTTCTAAAAATACACAACATAAAATGTAAGCAGCCAGTAAATCACACGAAAAACTTATTGATTTGCATTTTATCGACTGATTTTCATTGTCTTATTTCTCCTCTTTGTTATTATCTCTTTAATTTCATTGGTTCACAGAAATCACTACCACTATAAACTTCATCTAATATTTTAGCAACTCTGAAATGAATTAGTATACTTCTATGTGAGTAAATATGAGGAATCGAATAATTTTGGATTAAATAAATAATTGATGATGCCGCTTTATATTTTTCTCAAGATCTTGAATCAAGATAATTAGAATTCAATTTTCTGCTCTGATCTTGACATCTTGAAATCTTGTAACTGATCTTAACAAGATCTATGAGACAGATAAATCTGATATACATAAGAAATTATTTATCAGGAAAATTTCAGACATCTCGTACAGATCTTGCCAAGATCTTACTTACCGATCCCAAGATTTTCAGATCTTGCTTACAAGATATTCGACTATGGTGCTGACTACCCAGTGAAAAATATTCCGAAGAAAATCCAGATTATTTTTGATTAGCGACTGACAAATCCGATTTTTCGAACAAAGCTTCTACTTTTTCTAGAAGAATCCGATTAAAATCGATTAAA